GCAAAACTTGAAGTAGTTTTGTTAATATTAGTTTCAGCTTTCTAATTCTCTTATGATTTGAGTAAGGATTTTTTTTCTTGCTCTGCGTAAATGTTGTTCAAGCATTGGTTTAATGTATATTTTTTGCTCTTGCTACTGAGGCGGGTCGTGCTAACATACCTAGAGTTTATTAAATGTTCACGCAAAACTCGAAATAGTTTCGTTAATATTAGTTTCAGCTTTCTAATTCTCTTATGATTTGGATGAGAATTTTTTTTTCTTGCTCTGCGTAAATGTTCAAGCATTGGTTTAATGTATATTTTTTGCTCTTGCTACTGAGGGGGTCGTGCTAACATAGCTAGAGTTTATTAAATGTTCACGCAAAACTCGAAGTAGTTTTGTTAATATTGGTTTCAGCTTTCTAATTCTCATATGATTTGGATAAGGATCTAGAACACTAGCCCACGATAAATATTTTGATCCAGTCCTACTCCTACCTTTTCATAAACCTTTTGTTTTCCTGGTGCCTTCACCACCTCCTTTGAAGTTGTTTTGAGTTAATCCCTGAGGTTGCGTGACTCGCTGGGCCCTGGTCCAATCTTGCTAACCCTCCCCCTGGACCCTCACCCACTCTGTGCACCTACCGGTTTCTGAAGATTGTGCTAGTTCTACATGCACCTGTGTGTGCGGCGTGCACCGCTGGTCGAATTCTGAGCAATTTTTTATTCATTTCCGCTAAAAAACAACATAATATTTTTCATTACCTGGAGAGCAGTTTAATTAATCTTGAGAACGAACTCATTCCTTGGTATATGTGAAGAATCCAGTCGAGTATCACTCAACCATACCTTATATGACTGGTATTCATTTAGACGTGCCATTAACTTTCAACCGACTCTGTAATGCAATACGTATCTCATGCTGTACATTTCTGGTGGCTACTTGAAAAATAACTGTTTAAGGCTATTGTAGTCAATAAAAAAATTTAATTCTTTTTTTTCGAAATCGAAGTTAAGAAGGCATTATATACTGCTCTCCACTAAAATAAAGCCACCTCCAGTAATAGTATTTTATAACATGCACAAGAAAAACACAATTCGATAATTTAATATATCATGTAAGTATTACAGTACAAAATGTAAGTAATTAAGCCTTAAATTAAATCAAATGTAGGCATTACAGTACGGTCTTATAGTAAACAAAATGTAAGTATTGCAGTATGGGTTTACACTAAAACAAAATCTAGGATTACAGTGTTTTTACACTAAATACAATGTATGGCCTTACACTAAACAAACTGTAAAATTACAATGTATTTACGCTAAAAAATATTTAATTCCTTATAGAACCCTTGTAATACGTGTAGATTTACATAAAATACATTGTTGTATTTGTTATGGGGCGTTCGATCTTCATGCGTACAGTAATCGGTACTATGGACAGTGTTATTTACTGGACGCCATTGTAGTTGAGTGAAACCTTGTGTTGGGAGTAAGTTGTTCTTTCTCATGTTAACACTTTGTTTATAACATTGAGAATAACGTCAAGTTGATATCTAGTGAGGTAAAGCAATTGATCACGTTATCTTCTTGTCTAAAATTTTCTAATCACGTTATCCTTTTGTCTAAAACCCTCTAATCACGTTGTCCTTTTGTTTAAAACCCTCTAATTACCTTGTCCTTTTGTCTAAAATCCTCTAATCACGTTATCCTTTTGTCTAAAACCCTCTAATCACGTTATCTTTTTGTCTAAAATCCTCTAATCACGTTATCCTTTTGTCTAAAATCCTCTAATCACGTTATCCTTTTGTCTAAAATCCTCTAATCACGTTATCCTTTTGTCTAAAATCGTTCTTGGCAAGTGATCACGTTATCTTTCGATTACGTTATCTTCTTGTCTAAAATATTCTAATCACATTATCCTTTTGCCTAAAATTTTCTAATCACGTTATCCTTTTGTCTAAAATCGTTCTTGACAAACGATTACGTTATCTTCTTGTCTAAAATATTCTAATCACATTATCCTTCTGTCTAAAATCCTCTAATCACGTTATCCTTTTGTCTAAAATCGTTCTTGGCAATTGATCACGTTATCTTCTTGTCTAAAATTTTCTAATCACGTCGTCCCTTTGTCTAAAACCCTCTAATCACGTTGTCCTTTTGTCTAAAATCCTCTAATCACATTGTCCTTTTGTCTAAAAACCCTCTAATCACGTTATCTTTTTGTCTAAAATCCTCTAATCACGTTATCTTTTTGTCTAAAATCCTCTAATCACGTTATCCTTTTGTCTAAAATCGTTCATCGAACTACTGCTATCCACATGAATCATGATTACAAAGTAACTACTGCTGTCCACTTTTCACATGATCCTGATGATCGAATGACTATTGCTGTCCACATAAATTATGATTATAAGATACTGTCTATTCATATCCTGATTATAAAATGATTACCGTTGTTCAGATTGATTCTTGGTTTTATAAAGTCAAAATATTTTTTTACTGGGAATTGATGGGTGGCATTTACTTTCGAATATCTTCGATTTCGACAACATAATATCCACCGTTGTTCCATTTAGATTAATTGCTTTTGCTCATTCACATGTCTCTTAATTATACTTGACTATAAAATGGCGGCTTTTTCACATTTTTCAGACTAGGTGTACAGTAGGCATTTCCTTCCACACAAGTCACTGAAAGTAAAATGGTTATTTCGGTTCATCTGGTGCATGAAGTAGATATAATTTATTTCCAGTGATGTAGAGAAAAATCAATATGTATTGAAAACATACAGTTCGTTTTAAGAACTTTGTAATTTCTATGTCTAAAATCATTCTTGGCAAAACATGAATCATGATTACAAAGTAACTACTGCTGTTCACTTTCCACATGATCCTGATGATCGAATGACTTCTGCTGTCTTCTCTTAACCTGATGATAAGGTGAATAGCAGTAGTCACCTTATCATCAGGTTAAGAGAAGACAGCAGAAGTCATTCGATAATCAAGACTGAAGCGACCGTCAGTAGCCATCCTATAATCAGGGTTTTATATGGACAACAGAAGTCATTCTTTATTAATGATTTTATATGAACCACTGTAGTTCTTGAATAATTAGAACTCATGTGGAAAGCGGCAATAATTTTATAATATATGACCAGCAGTAGTTATTCCCCAATACCGTAAGAACCGTAATAGTTATTTTGATAATATCGCTTGAACCGTAATATTCATTCCATAATGACTTATGGACAGCAGTAGTCATTTAATAATATCATATGAATCGTAATACTAATAATAATTCGATAATATTACATGAAGAACAATAGTCGTTCATTAATAGCATATGAACAGCAGTAGTCATTCAATAATACCTACTGCATGAGCCGTGTTAGTTATTCAATGTAATAATGTCATGTAAATCACAATAGTCATTCGATAATGATGTACGAACAGCAATAGTCATGCTAGTATGTGAAGATAAAAACCAACATTTTATCAGAATACCTGTACAGTCATTCCATAATGATGTACGAACACCAGTAGTCATGCTAGTATGTGACGATAAAACCAACATTTTATCAGAACACCTGTACAGTCATTCTATAATGATGTACGAACACCAGTAGTCATGCTAGTATGTGAAGATAAAACCAACATTTTATCAGAACACCTGTACAGTCATTCCATAATGATGTACGAACAGCAATAGTCATGCTAGTATGTGAAGATAAAACCAACATTTTATCAGAATACCTGTACAGTCATTCCATAATGATGTACGAACAGCAATAGTCATGCTAG